GTAATGTCAACAGATTGCCTATTCTTAAAACTGCCACCTATTTATAAGTTAATCACCTCAATATTTGATTGCAGAGTTTTTCCTTTCATAGTAATATTTGTTTAATTTAAGATTTTTTAAAAACCTTTTCCTTTCAAACTATTTTTAGCAACGTGAATATATCATAACCATAGAATTTTCTTTAATTTATAATGAGAATTAAATGTGTATTACGATTTTTAGTAGGAGTTAAATTTTAAAAAAATCCTTGAAAACAGGCCTTAACTTTTTGTTGCATACAAACAGTATATATATACGGTTTGTCAAAAAAAAAAAAAAAAAAAAAACATCAAAACTATATCTGAGTGAACTTTTGGAGATTTGAATGAGGCTTTCATCATTATATCTTTACTAGTTTTCACTTTCTATTCATAAAAGCTTTTTTTTCTTTTTTTTTTTCCTGTGAAGCAGTCAGTTTTTTTTAAGCCCTGTATTTGTCAAAATAAAAGCATGTATATTTAATTTGTAGTTTGTATTTTATTTTACACTGTTTTATGTATTGAATTTTTAAAAACTATCACATTCTTTATATATATATAAAGATTTCCATGGTTTCCATTCCACAAGCTAATTTTTTTTTAAAATTTATACCATCTCCAAAAAAAAAAAAAAAAGTTTCATAAATCAAATTTCCCACATCAGAGCCATATATAGGGTATTGTATTTCATAAAGTTATTCATGTAGTATATAATAATGTTTAGTTCCTATATTTAGGCCAAATTGTGTGTTTTTGTTTTAAAAAGCTCATTACTTATTCATAAATCAAAAATAAGAAATCTGGAATATACTTGACTACCAGTTTGAGAAGTGATTTTTGGTACTTGTTCCTGATATACTTTAGAAAAAAAAATTAAATAAATAAAAAATAGCATTAATCCACTTAAAATAAAAATATACTACTTTGTATGAACACCAAACTTTTAAATATGAGCAGGACATGCTTTATCAAACGAAAAGCTTTATTTCTTCATCAGAGTTGTCTCCTTTGCTGGTGAAGATGGGTTAGGTTAGGTTATTTAAATACGGCAAAGCCTCGAGGAGCCCTAAGGGATCCTTTGGAGGACCTAAGGGAAACTGGTGAAAAACGAAAGCTTTTTGTTCAAAATGTGCGTCCTGCTCGCGTTTAAAAGATTGGTGTTCATACAAAGTAGTATATTTTCGTTTTACTTCATTTTTGAGTGTTTATTTGTAATTAAATCCACTTACTTTATAGTAAATACTATATTTAAATGCACATTTTCGTAATGTGTTTATTTAATTGGGATACAGGAATAAAATAGAATATGTATTGTCATGTTTGAAATTATAATTCAGAAAGAAAATTTCATTTTGGAAATGTACATTTTACAGCTGATGTGCAAAATATGAAATCTTACTAAATTTAATGTATAGCAGCATACAGTTAAGGCAGAAATTATTTTCTGGATATTGCTAAGTTTATAAGCACTTTAATATGCAAGTAACTGAATAAAATGGGCATTTACAATCAGTGAAAGATCTTTTTAAAAATAATCTTAATAAAAATAAAATTTTATTTACTATCGTACGTTTCCAGAATGCAAGTATTATTGGCAACACTGAAAGGTCAAAGGTAAATGAAATTGTTCCAAAAACTATTTCTGACTTTAAATTAAGTAAAATTATGTTTACTTAAATATAAGAAAATAAAATATTTTTCTGTAATAAGATTTCAATATAATTTATCTTTTTGTATCATAAACTATATTATAAGTTTGGACAGTGATAGTTTATAGTTCCAGCTGAAAGTCAACAGTCTGTAAGTATATATTTCATCAATTGCATAAATACATATATTACAATGTGATTTTCTTTTTCTCTTTAGGATGCAATGCATTAAAAATAAACGAGATTTTTTTACCTTTTCAAATATTATAACAGTAGTGCAATTAATTTTTAAACGTTATTCAAAATTAAAAGTTTCCATCTGAACTTTTTATTATTTATTTTAGATTTTCTTCCTAAAATTATTTAATCTAAACATCTTAAACAATGGCGCAAATAATTTAAAGCGATTATTAAAAATATAGATAAAATATTCAGGAAAAAAGGGCTTAAGTTATATCTAAAAATAATTGTAAAAATCCAATAACCTAATTCGAGGTCGTTGTCTGCCGACTGCCAGCAAACGGAAATAAAAAACACTACCTGCCACATCAAAAGCACGCCAAACTGGCGATGAACAGCCTAAGCTATCACTCCCCAAGAGCGCCAAGACCATAAATCACGTGGTATATGTTGAAGACAGCCTAGCAGACGAATTCTCTGTGGGTGAGCCGTCTACCTGTTATATAAAATTCGTTGGTCTAGTTAATCTGTGCTGAGACGATTGAGTTGACAGCTAGGCAGCGAGTGTCGAGTGGGTCATCGAGTGCATCGAAGAGTCTCTTAGTGTATCCGCGGTTAGTGTATCGTCGAGAGAGCGTGTTGAACTCCAGGAACGACTAAACCGAAGAGTTGGGAGCCGTGCTCTGTGTGTCGTCGAGTGCATCGCGAGTTGTAGCGTGGAGAGTCGAGAGTACGTGGAGTTCCGAGAACGACCGAGCAGAGTCGGGAGCTGCACTCTGGTGCTTTGCAATGAAGCTGTCTCCACCGTGATAGCTTGATAACCTGAAAGCTGTATCGCTGATCGTGTCAGCGTGGTTATAACAGTTCGACAACTGTAAACGAGGTTTTTGGAGCTGTCCTGATTAATATTGGTAAATAAAGTGGGTTTCGATATTCCATCAAGTGCTGTCGTCGTTATTCACTCCAAATCTGCACGAACATGTGAAGAAAATAACGTAACAACTGACGTCAGAAGAAAAACGTAACAATATTTTACTAAAATTTCCATTGAATAACGCGCATCAAATATTTCAGTGAATAGAACTGTGTTACTAAGAAACGTAAAAGAAAACTATATGTGAATGGTAATTGTTTTTCAACTGGATGTATACATTGTTTAAATTATACTGTAGAAACATATGACTTGCTTAAAAAGAGGATCCAAGCTGAATCTGCTGAAAACTATTTCAAGAATTTATCAAGCCTTCCCGAATAAAGAGTGTATTTAGAAGATGAAAGGCATTTTTAAGACTGATGAATCCTGTTTCATTTCATGCTTGCTACAAGCATTTAGCTGCTATATAACAATATCAAGAAAATAAAAATCAATCCGTTGTATTCTTCAGTCTAGATGGAACGGAAAAGCCGAGACGCTGTAGGAAAATGACAAACGCAATGTATTTGAAATGTTATATTTTTTTAGTTTTAACAGGTATAAAAGCACTTCATTAGGTATTAAAATTTTCATTAGATATGAAACGAATTTAAAAAAAAAAACCTGAATAAATGCGGGTTATTTTATAAAATGCTTCAAAAAATTCAAACTTCGGTAAATAATTAAGAAATCTAAAACTTGAATTCTTTTATGTTAAATGTTATATATTTTGAATTTTATACGATTTGAAAAATGAAAGATTTTTAACTTCTCCTTACACGTGGATTACTTCTTTAACAAAGTAGCTTTAAAATTCTACAGCTAAAATATACGTATCTCACTCTAAACAAAATATTCTAATATATGTCTTTTCGAAAGGCATCTTAAAAGACGAATAAATTATGTTTTACTTAAATAACTTACCCAGTTTCTTATTGCTGTGCATTAAGAACATCATCATTGTGTTATTTTTAGAGTAAGAAATTACGTTATGTGACCATTTTTAGCTCCAAAATAGCTATCCAAATATTGGATTTTGTAACATGGCGACTTCATATGATTAAAAAATAGCTAAATACTGTCCAGTCTGACTATTTATGAAATTTATAGACATTTAAAATTTAAATGAAATCAGTATCTGACAATTTTTGAAGCTCTCCCTTTCTTCCTTTATCAGCTCCGTCTGTAATGTAAGCGATTCTAGTAAAACTTCTGGTGTTGAATTTTGATTTTACAGCATGCTTTTCCCAATATCTCTCATTTCTAATGCAAAATTCTGAGACTGGTGCCTGATTTATTGGAGGATATTTTGATATGCTCATTGATGCTGGAACTATATGTGCTGTAAAATTTTGCTGAATATCCATCCTTAGGAAAATAATAAACCTTGGCTACAATTAGACTATGCATACATATCATTGTACTTAAAGAACGGCAATTCAACAGTGATAAATCCTGACTGTACTTGAATACATTTAACATTCATGAACTATAACGAATGGCAATACTATTCTACTATGCAAATACTATTTCTACTGTGCAAAATTCCGAAGTATATTAGCGCATCTAATGCATACAGTAGAAATTTAAAAAGAATGATTGAAAAGCGTTTGATTTATAAACTGAAAATCCGGATCGAAACCGGGATATTAAATTACGAAATATAAATATTGATACTGTTATAAAAACTTTTTTAGTGCGTTTATCAGAATCCAAACATAAAAAAATGCAAAGATGTGCTAAATTAAATCAGCAAAACTGTTTTCGAAAATTTTAATCAAAAGCTGGTTAGTAAAATATTTCGGAAATGAACCGTATTGAAACTTCTATTTTCGTTAATTAAAAATAACACGGAATTTAAACGAACAAAAGTTTCCCTCTTGGGGAGTTCTTGCTAGGAAGCTGTCATTAAATGCACAAAGGAGCACGAAGAGGAATATCTGCTAGACTAGAAGAGAAACACGCTAATGTGACAATCAAAATCGTAAAAACAACCTTGTATTTAGGGTAGGTATAATGAAATACCTACGCTACGTAGTTCATTATACCTACGCTAAATACAAGGTTGTTTTTACGATTTTGAATATCTGCTAGTTTAGAAAGTATAATTCAGAAATCTTTAGGTATGATAATAATAAAAATATAATTCTTAAGAATGAGACAGTATTGAGTCTCATTCGACTTGTTAAAAACTAGGAATACTTTCTACAAATTTTCAGGTGCTAATTATTGAATACTTACAAATGGTGAACTTGCGTTAACGTCGCCAAGCTGTATGGTCTTCTGAATAACGAACCAATCACTTTCTGTCTTGGGTTTTGAAGTCGCACATATCATCAGAGGAGAGTTTCCTGACTGCAAATTAGGTTTTTAATGTATTTTCTAAATGAAATTCATTCTGATATATTTAAATAATATTCCATTTCTGAAACATTTAAATTCATAATTCATCAAATCTGATGCGATCTTTTTCACTGCAACTACTGTTAACCAAAGTGTGTTTATAAAGCGACCAAAGTGTAACTTTACTCTGTAAAGCAGCGGAATAAGACTGTTATAACACGCCCAAAACTTAATTACGAAATATGTTTAACTGTTTTACCGAAATGCGTAAATAAAATACACCAATATTTGAGTATTATGCAAATGTATGTTAGATATAATAATTAGTTGAAAGGTTCATTTCATATGAAGATAGGGCTCACCAGCGGCCGAGCGGTAAAGTCGCTGAACACTGGTAGTTCGGTCCGAGGTTCGAATCCCGCGAACGGGCTGGCTGCATGGGCGTTTTCGTGGTTTTCCTCATGTGACGTGAATACGAGCCAGTTTCCCTTAGAAAGTCCTCCACGAAGGCATCCCTCCCATTAGGCAGATAGCCCTCGAGGCTTTGCCATAATCACACACACCACACACCACCATATGAAGATAGTATGTTCATTTCAAGATTCTAAGCATATAAATTAAAGGTACTATACAGGGTGCATCACAGTACAGCGGTGACAAACTTACAGAAGAGATAGAGTACACCCAGACGATTGGGAAATCATATACTAATGTATGGTCGGAAACTATTTCCTGGCGCAATAGTGACGACAGAAAACTTAAAAAAGGAAGAACACAAACAATGAGACAAAAGATGTTTTATGTTTAGTACAATAGAAACCTACAAATAAAAACAAAAACAAATAACGATCGTCATTAAAGAATGTGTTCGAAATGACGACCTCGGACCGTCAGGCAGGCCTCACTTCTCTGGCGCATGGAAGACCTGCATCACGAATTGAAGATTCATAACGCACGGTTCCTACATCACGGTCCGAGTGGTAATTTCGAACACCTTTGATGATGATCGTTGTCTCTTTATCTTGTTTTTTCTTTATTTTTGTTATAAACATGTTTTCTCACCCCATTTTCATTTCACCCCATTCATTTCAAATTCAATATGAATTGAATTTGTGTACCATTTCATATTGAATTTGTGCATTTGTGTCCTTTCTTTCTTGACTTCTGTGTCGTCACTACCGAGCCAGGAGAAAGCGTTTCTGACCATGCATTGCTATGTGATTTTCCATCGGCTAGGAGCACTCTATCTCTCCTTAAATTTTGTCACTGCTCTGCTGGTACACCCTGTATACATTGGACAAATGGCCTAAATCATGTACTTTGGGGGGGGTTAAAGAAAACAAGAAACTATTATTTAACAAGAAACTGCATTCTTTAGGTTTCACACAGTGTGTAGAGTCATTAGGTTAATTGGAAGCAGAAAAGATGAAAAATATGCAACCGCCTTCGCCGGAAATCGAACCACGGACCTCTGGAGTACCGGCCCAGCGTGCTACCGTTACACCACGAAGGCACGCTAGGGAAATTGGAGAAATACTTTATATACTCCCCTTTTTAAAGGGCAACTAGGGTTTTAGGGGACCTAGTCCCCAAATCCTGGGTGCGAAGAATCATCATCCACAACCCTTTTAGTTCGGGCGCCACTGTAGAGTCATTGGGTTAATTGGAAGCAGAAAAGATGAAAATATGCAACCGCCTTCGCCGAGAATCGAACCACGGACCTCTGGAATACCAGCCGAGCGTGCTACCGTTACACCACGAAGGCACGCTAGGGAAGTGGGAGAAATACCTTATATACTCCCCTTTTTAAAGGGCGACTAGGATTTTAGGGGAACTAGGGGAACTGAGTGAAACCTTATTTTAAGTTAACTCACCGGCGGTGAGAAAACGAAATCAATATTTTACATTCTGTTGTTATCTCTTGCCCTCACAGTCACTTAAGTAAAAGACGATAAGTGGGCTAGTAAAGGTAAAGATTGATTTTTACATCGTATATCACCTCTACTATTACGTCATGAACTGTATGCCAGGAGGTTGGTGGTTGGTACATCTTTAACCTTCTTACAATGAAAAGTTTATTTGAAATTGCGCACATAGCAGTATTCATGTAGTAAAGATAATTGGATTCTTACTTTTTTACAGCTGAATCAAGATTTTGTTTACATGCTGATATTCTGCGAACAGAGTTTCGAATCATCAATGAAAGAAATACCATCAGTTTCATCAAGTAAATAGAATAAAATCTATCCAATTCAGCTCATTGCGTACTTCTGCAAATTTAATCTTGATCCGTCCAGAAAAACAGCGTAGCAGTTCATCTATGTAGAACAAGGAAACATAATGCAACTCACGAAATATAGGAACAAAAGTTATCTGGAAGCATGCGAGGTGACATAATTAATACACACTCCTCCATATGTAAAGTGGTAAGTGTTATACCTTATAAGGATGAGATTATACGTTTTTATGTTAGCTTTTTCCGGAGAACTGTTGCTCCTACCTTTCTGTTAATGTCAATAATATTCGGTCTCACAAGGCTTCACTTGTGAAAGATTTTCTATAAACTGAAGATATTCACTGGAAGGATTACAAGTTAAATCTCGAGACCTTTGAAGTGCTTGGGATTTTGTTCTTCCACTCTACCTTGCGCTGAATTAGAAACTTTCTTATCATATGCTCTTGTGGCAAATCCAAATGGAAGTGGCTCAATTTCAGAGGAAAGCATAGTAGATTTTTCAAGTTTCTAGCTCTGGGAATTTGACATTTTTTACAACCTTAATGGATTATGAATGACAATCAATGAAGCATTGCCATTTCTTTGGCCAAGAGCTTATTTCGTTTGGTTATGAGTGTGTCTCATTGTTAGCAGCTTTGGTAATTCCTTAACAGACGAGCATATTTCATGTTAAAGGCAGTTTTACACACTGCTTTCGGAAAGTTAGACTACGCAGATTCTGAGCTTTCAAACGCATGTTTTAATTTCATTGAAAAAAACTACGTGCTTATAAAATAGAATGTGCAAAGATCGTATAATGTGACAAATTAGGATTTACTGCGAACAAATATGCAGATGAAACCTTTGAGTATGTGAGTTTAACTGTTGACTGAAAATTTTTTAAAGTGATTTCAACTTTACTTTTATTTATTATAAAAGGTCAATTATTAAAAAAGATGGCTAGTTGATTTGCTGGTTTGCCGTCATTCAGCTTGAGGCAGTACAGCTTATTAGAGATATCGCTAATTATTTTAATAATGACCGCTCTGTAATTCCACTTTTCGAAAATAATTTTAAACAAATAAGTCAGACATTTGGAGGTTTGCTGTTGGTCATCCAAGAAGCAAATCGCACTTTCTAATAATAATATATATATATAGTTTTATTGGTACCCCAACAAAGTAGTCCATGACAAAATAGCCTATGACAAGGTATCAATCAAAATCTTCTGAACGAAGTCCCGGGAACAGTTTTTAAATTTTTTTAGTATCGTAAATATATGCAGACGTATGATGAGTCTGTCATATATGTACAAATCGGTAACTGTGTCTTGCATGCAAATGCGATTTAGAAACTATACGCATTCATATTTGATTGTACACACATTTACGTATGATGGCTAATAGAGATATCTTATTAAAAATGTTTGACAACCATTTATCAAGCAGAGTGCCGTAGTAATAATTTCCACATATAGGTTACCATGGCATATAAAAATCTAGTATCCTCTGCCCTATAGTAGGGTTATGTAGTAATAATTATCCACATACGAGTTACCGTGGCATATAAAAATCTGGTATCCTCTGGCCTTAGTTCTAAATTGTAAAATAATTTACTTGTTTTGCACAAAAAAGATATTTAGACATTAAGAAAAATACAATAATTTTCAGTGTCTTTAATATGTAATAAATTAAGCTTTAAAAGCAAGAGAATATTTTAGAAGGTAAATAAAGTAAGAAGATTTGGTTTAGATTCAGTTTGGGGTTTGATTTTATTGAAAGTAATTAATTTCAAAGCGATAAAACTTAGTCATAAAAAGGTACAGATTTTCTAAAAGACTGTCATATATATCGTAAAGTAATAGACAACAAAGATGGATGTATCTCATGGAAGTGCACAGTGTCTTCCTATAGAGGACGTTTAAGGAATCGCCGGGATGCATGTGTGCGGAATCTAAACGCAAACAATGCAAAATACGTATAATTTATGTAGTTTTACTTGATCGAGAACTAGGAATGAATCTAATAACCCCAACAGATATCAAGTCTCTAAAATAACTACAAAGTCGTGAGAAGGTTTTAAATAACCTTTTTATTTAAACATTCTTTAGAACATAAACGCTCTCTCTTGTACTAATATCAGTCACAGTCGTGGTAATGCAACTTATAAAACAGGTAAATTCAAGTTAAACGTGAAACAGTAGTCAAAGACTAAGCTATCTCAGTAAATTTACTGGAAAATCAAAATTAAAATGTTGATAGTGAAATAAAACAAAACTGAATAAACACAATTATCCGAACTAGCAAGAACCAACACGGAGCGTGCATGCGAAGCCAGGAACACATTCTCTCTTAAACTCCGAAAACCTCAGTTTAAATACAACCTATCTCATTTACGTTATGGGGAGGAAACGGAAAAGAGAAGTTATAGTAAATGCTGAAATTATAAATTACTGGTTAACTTAAATAATAACCTTACAAACGGAATCGATGTCTGAAAGCATTCATGGAGAATTATGAAATCATGGAACATTTAGAATTTCTTCGGGGTATTTCTTATAATCTTCAAATATGAGTATCACTAGACACTGATTTTGTTGTTTTTACTGGTCTTATGGGCCTCAATTTTATTTTAAAAAGTACAGTATAGAAAATATTTTTTACTCATTTTTAGATACTAAAGCTCAATGGGAATTTTGTCGAATGGTATAAATAGTCGATATTTGCGTTAAAAAGCTTTTAGAACTTAAACTAGAAATAAGATATTTATAGTTATATTTAGGCTATTTTGCCATGGGCTATTTTGTTATAAGCTATTTTGTCGTGAACTATTTTGACAGGTTACGAGCTTCATTGGCCAAAGGCAATCGACAGCCACCTCATCAACTCTAAAATCATTAATTGCTAAAACAATTGGAAAATTAATATTTGAACGCTTGGGTATAACAAATTTGTGATTCTTTAAGCATCAAACCCAGAAGATCATCCTTGAAGTAGATGTATCAGCATGCGAGTTAGAAAGTAGCTGAGTGGTCCATCATATGCTAACAGTTGGGTCAAAGCTGGCATTGGAATTTAAATATAAACATAGAAATTTATGTGGAGGAAAAAATATAGAACCTGCTCAGTCAATGTCACTTCTACTGCTTCTTCACCATTGTCAATATAATAGCATAAATTGGAGTTTTTTTTTTAGCTATCGCACAGTTCGGCACATCTTCACAGAAGTTTTTGTGACTACACAGACTATCGGAATGAAGTCTTTGATGCATTTTCAGACATAATCCGTAGTTGTAACCTTATGGATCACAACACAAGTCCACATAGAGAAAAACGTATGGATAATGACCTCGAGAGTGAAATGATCGTTCGAATGGAATAGGATTCTTATTCACGAATGGAATATTCACGGCATCTCAAACTTTATTTTAAAGTTTTTTGGATCCTCTGAAATGCTATCTCTGTCCATGTATCCCCTCTACATATTCTCAAATATTTCCAAGATGTTCTATTAAAGGAATTGCAAATATGATATCACTTGGTACGGAACCTAAGTACTTCAAATCTAGGAGAAGGTTCTGTTAAAACAGTGAGGCAAATTATCGCCCCATCTTACTCTCTCGTAAGACCCTTTTAATAAGAAGGCTAAAACCGTCTGATTAGTTTGTCAGCCTAACAGTGCATAACCTGTGCAATAATAGAAATTTAACACCACAGCTTGCAGGAATAACAGAAAAAAGCTTAAAACGAAATTTAAGATATTAAAATAACGGGATTTACAAGACAAATCGCGTTCACGAATTTTGTCTCAGGTAAAGTTTGGCAACTTAATCGAGCAATTAAGGCTAACAAGGCTGAAGCCGATTGGAGAAAGCTGCGAACAAGTAGTGGGAAGGTCAGCCATAGCTTCCATAAACTCTCTTTCAAAATCAAGAGTTCTGTCGTTAAATACACTAAATTTTGTCCTGGTGGGAACTGACGAAAGTTACAGTAAAGGCAAAAATAATACACATGTAAAACCCTGCACCTTAATAGAAAGTATGGAACGTCGTTCACAGTGCTTGTCTGAAAGTAAGAAGTGGTCACATCCGCTGCTAAGGAAAGTTTTTTTTTTTTTTTTTGGATACCTAACAATTTTTTTCTGAACTTACAAAATGTTATTTACATATATAAATTATTAAAAATATGACTAAATATAATTCTTTCACTGCTTTTTATTTGTGAATATATAACTTAAAGTTTTATGTGAAATGTCAGAGCAGCAAAAACACAACAGTTCCAGTTATTTTAAATTTACTGTCGCGAGCTTAACTCTTAGATAATGAGCATATTTATATAAATAAACCTTGATTTTTCATTTTTAAATTGCTCAATCTCCCTGAAGAAATCAAAAGTACAATTTTTTTTTTTCTATTTTACTACTTTACTTGCCTTCATAATTATGCATCATTTTATGCCTAATATTTATAGCTTAGCTAAGCATAATGCCAGTTTTATTTCTCTTGTTGTAACTGAAATTGTCTAACGAGCTTTAAGTTTTCATATGTATATGCAAATTCAATTAATATAAGCCACTTATTTAAAGCAATATGAAAAAGATAATTTTTTAGTCCAGAGCGATAAAACTATTATATCAAATTTCCTGTTCCCTGCAAGTGAGCATTCCATTAAAAATTTAAATTGCAGTAAAGTATGATATCGAGTCAAGATGAGATTAAGATAATCACAGATAATCGCAATAAAAATAAGATTAAGAAAGGGATAATTCAATCCTTGACCCTTAGAGAATGTAAGTTTATAATAATATGTTTAGAGATCGTGTTGTTTGTTTTAAAATTATATTAGTTAAATATTGTTACAAGCTACAATATTTTATGTAGATAGTAATGATAAAAATATATTGCTATAATTGCTCCATAGAAATTTTGAAAAACCGTAAAAATTTACTAACTTTGTTGAGTTTGTTCAGCAGATTCGTTGCATGGCCGCTTCTCAGTAATTCTTCAGCTAAGTCAAATCTGCTGTTGCCATAAACATAATGTAGGACATTATTTCCCTGCAAAATAATAATGAAGAGTAGTTTTAGTATATTTTAGTCATTAATTATTTTTCATTTACATGTCTTTGAATCGAGTTTATTGTTTAGGCCGTAAAATTACCAGGTGTAAATTAAGTTCAGTAATTTTAATTTATCTGTAATTCGCTTATATCCATCCGTATCGAAAATGCTGAGTGTTTTGTGCAAAAATAGAAAAACAGAAAAAGTATCTGTTCTTATTTACAACAGATATATCATTTGTATCCCTCCAGTTCGTTCACGTTTGTTTACACATTTCGTCGTGTTTTTGTATTAACTTTACAGAATTTTTCTTATCTTTATTCTGAATGGCAACAATGATGTTCACTTTCAGCTTTCAGAGCAAATTCCATGGAAAATTTTGCACTACACTAAATATACGATTTTATCTTGAAATAATACTCTACTACGAGTAAAAATGCCTTCTTTAAGTACTGTTGTAAATTTATTGTAAGTATATGCATTTTTGATTTACTTTTATATATTTTTAAAATGTTAAGTACTTTTTTTGTTTATTTATTTGTTAACGGGGGTCATAAAAAAAGCTTCTCCGATGTACATAATGTATTCATCGGAGATGTATGAAATCCCTGCTGCCTATCCATTGAACCAACCAAAATAAAATTTCAGGTATCGTTATTTGAAGATATGCGCTAAAGATTGCGATGATTTAAAACAGCAGAGCTCTTACGATTATAGTGAAAACATTTCGAAATTTTAGAATAGCAACACTACATTTTCCTGCGCAAATTCACCAGCTCTTTAAAAAACTATAAATGGCGTTGATAAGGTGCACGTATGATGAAAACTGCCGGGGTTAAGCATTCGCAAAGAAAAGCATTGTAAAGGGACAATCACAGCACGTAGAGAAGGCGCAAATTGACGCAATTTGTATAATTCACAGGGATAGACAGTAGAAGCACCAATCACAAAACACCATGTGCAAAGCATTGCTTGTGGGAAATTTCTAATAAGGCAGTGCGGGAAGATTGTTTTTTCAATCAGGTGTTCCAGTGCGAGTTATCGGCGAAATCAGAAGCTAAGATGAGGCCGATGTTCCGTAAAAACTGAAAGTTATTTATATATATATATATATATATATATATATATATTAATATGTTGTATGATCTTAAATCCATTTAGTGCGAATACAAGTTATTACTACTTGCGCAATTGCTGCAAAGTTATTTAATAATAATTTATTTCTTAAACAGTATTGATTAATTGATTAACACGTTGAAAGAATAATTTCTATCGTTTGTGGGCAGGGGCTAAAACCTTTCAAGCAAATATTACTCGAAGCTTCTTTATGAGGATGGGAAAATGCACCTACTCGGTAGATAGATCGAAAGATTTAAAATTAGGCAAAATAGCAATCTTACTTTTTGATAGCAATCTTACAAGGCATAGATTTTGCATAAATCTCTGTCGATTTTGAGGGTGGTCAGACACAGCCTCTCTTCTTCAGACAAAAAAGATATTTACAACAAAGGGGAGGACAACATTTTTATATCGAAAGCAATGTCTGGAGCCACTTGTCTTTTGTACTGATTGTGTCTTAAGGGGACGGTGGACTTTAAAAATTAGTTAAGTTTTTGTGTTTTCAACAAGAAATTTTATACATATACATATTATAACATCAATTTACAAAATTTATGTTCAAAATTGCAATTTATTTTAAAATTAAAAAATTTTAAAACAAATAATTAATTATTTTGATTAAAGATTTAAAATGCTCCTGGCGCGCTAATTTTCAATACTTTTTCCTAATTTTTCCTTTTAGTTAGTTATAAAAACTTGACAAAAGTTTATGTGTATCCGTTATTGAATATGATGGATCAGAAATTTCTAAAAAGGTTTTTTTTTGAACTTAAACCCAGTGTTCGGAAAAAAGTCACCTTTTGTTAAAAATTATCACAAGTTTAAACTTCTTAATAACCTCATATCCAAAAATGCATACACAGAACTACTTTAACATACAACAAGATAGTTTCTTCCAAATATCATTCATTTTAAACTAAAAATGAGATGCATGAAACATTTTTAAGACTGCCAAAAACTGCGAAAAAATTTGTTTTGAGAAAACCGAATTTAAAGTTTTTCTTCAAACTTAACTTTAAAACATATGGTCATGAGAAATAGCAAATTAGCTTTAAATATGAATATATAGACATTGGATAACATTTTCGTATCATTTAACTATTTTTAATCGCATAATATTAAATTTGAAAAAAATAAACATATCGCAAATTGGTATGTGATTCGAAGTTAGAGGTAGAAACAATTTATGCATTTTATCCAATGAAACTTTTAAAACTCACCCGCATCATATATTTTACCTTCATTTGTTACGTTTACAATATTCAGTAATGCTTTACAACATTTTTCACTATTTCTGATTTTTTCCAAGCAGGTAAACTTCTCTTTTTCAAAAAGAGAAGTACTGGTTCAAGCGACGCTGATCACGCTATTTTTCAACGAGTATGGAAAACGAATTGGCTTCCTCCTGTTCTTCGCCTATAGCAATTACATAACCAAAGTTAAATTCATTAATATCTGTCAATACTTGACATTTCTAGCCTTTTTTAAAGAAATAAACACTTCTTTTGGTCAGATATATAAATTATAACATTAGTAAATAACTGTTGAAACACATTTTTTTACATTTTCTCCAAAATTTAATGGGAAAGTTTACGCTGTTTACACATTTTAAATGCTTGTAACTTTTTTAAAAATTAGAAAATTTGAACTCGGTTTTTTTATACGATGTAGTTACGTATGTGGAATATTATGAGAGTAAGAAAAACAAATTCAATATTCCAGGTTGATTTTCAGCTATTTTAAAGTGCACCGTCCCCTTAAATATAAATCTTTTATACCGATTAGCACAACGAGTAATTTTGTACAATTTTAGACCTGCCTTTGCTGCGTTTCTTCCTTATATTTGGACAACAGGTGAAACAGGATACATAAAAAGCTTTCAAAAGTAACTGAAATTCTGACTAAATTACAACCTAAATTTTCGTAACATTTTACGATAAATTATCATTAGTTACTTATGCTAATGTAGTACCTTCTTTCGTGATTAGTACAGACTGGAATACTAGAGATCATGCCAAATGTCTCCCATTCTTTATCTGCGAAAAGAAAATATTGATAGGGAAAGAAAGTCTTACGTTTGCATCTACTGAATGCATAAGAGTCTTTACAAGGTTCACTGAAAATTCTTCAAAGAATTTCAAGTAGTTTCGTACTTCTTGCAGTCTGGCGTCTTTTACAGCTGTTATTTCAAACCATTTCTCATGCAAGGCTCTCACTGGTTTGATCTGAAATTATATTTAATTTTAAATTTTAAAGGCTCATAAGGAAAAAAAGTTGTTTGATTTATACATTTAAAATTTTAATTTAAGAAGCAAAAATTTTCAAATATGTGAGTAAATTACAAGTGTGCAAAAGTAAGTGAAATAAATTTAAAACTACATTGGCCCCCAAAACTTAGAGAACAGCATATTTTATTTGTGTGTAATTTGAGAATCTAGCAACATAGAAACAAGACATTTAGAGGACATGTTCATTAAACAGTTCTTAAATGAATGTGACAGAGGATGTTTCTAAAGTTCAACACAAGCATAAATTAGAACAAAAATTGCGCTCTTGGCAAGGAAATCCAGTCTTGGAGGAGCAGTACATAACAGTTTACAAAAATAGGCTCTAATAAGAACTGTGTCCATTCTTAGCTGAATACGTTGGCATCGACGTCCTATGCTGCCAATTAAGTTGTCGGTCAGCAAAATGAGAAGAAACGACCAGAGAAGACATTGTTCTCATCATTGTTCAAGCTTATCTAACAACCTTGGAGGAGGATTTAAAGCAGCAACTTCCCTCCCAAGATAGATACTATATCGGATTCAGATCTATTGAGATAGACATTTCATCCACTCCGTACCGTGACCCTCAAGATATTCTTGACCAACCCGAGCTTGGTACAATGGCGCATCAGTCGCCTGATCGTCCATCAGGAGAAGTCCAGGACCAATAGCTGCAGCATATGAGCAAATATATTGATCAAGTATCTCGTTTCGGTATCTCACACCGTTCAGAGTTCCTCTATGGAACACATTCAGGCCAGGGTGACAACCGAGAGAGATCCCAGCCCACACTATTATTCCTCTATCTCTGTAATTGTATCTTTCTACAATGTGAGATTTGTTGTATATAGTATTTTGTTCCCTCCAGATGAACTGACGACCTGAATCGCTCTCCAGTGTGAACCTGGACGGTTATTCTACGCTACGAGAGTCGACAGCAAGTTGTGGGCCGCCAGATGTCGCTGCTAGTAAAAAACAGGTCTGCCCGACATCCTATATTCTCTGAGTACGGAAGTTGTCGAAAGCGCGTGAAAAAGTGTTGCCGCGTCGTCAATCAGGGTTGTCCAGTTGACGTACTAAGTAGACAATGCCTTTGTATGTGTTTTCGCCGCTGATTTTTTTCATATTTAAACGAAGAAAACCGTCGTAGATCTCTGAATCGGTGGCGAATTTATAGAAAATATGTTGATGCTTTTGCTCTGCCAAAAGATGTTTTCATTGCGTATTTCAGATTGCCAAAATTTATAGTTATTTTAATTTTTGGGGATGAACTGAGAGAGTATTTGGAGCCACATTCAGAAAACAAGAACGCAATTTCTACTGAAAGAAAGGTTATACTATTCCTGAAATTATAGATATAAATTGTAATTGTACTGCTTTAAAAATGTAGAAGATAATAAGTTTATCAAGCACATAAACCTTCTTCATTTAATACAAATATAGACATCCGATAAGCTTCTACTCGATTTATGTACAGCAAGAATTACGTTTATTTAAATCTAACAGTTGAATACCTTACGAATCAATACTGTGAACACAAAAAATGTCGTTCATTATTAGCGAAATTCACACTAAATAAAAATTAAAAAAATAATAATATAATATAATTATAAACTATAAAATAGATTTATAATATTTTTTCAGTATTGTACTACTACTAGTGCGATACTTTTAAAAATAAGTTTTAGCTCAGAGGGGCTATTAATTTCGTTTTGCCATTTTGTGGCGTTTCATAAATCACTTTTCAAATCGTTGCCACCAAGTATTATCGCACTCTATTAATTTAAAGAAATTAAATAATGAGGAATCTGCAGAATGTATGAATGTTTCTCGCACTGTGAATAAAACAACGGTACCTAGAGCCATGAAATTTTGAATAACGTAATCCTCCATCCTAATATAGGCATCTGGAGGCCCAATTTTGAACTGGGAATTTGTTTCATTATCTGTTATCATATTTTTCAATACTTTCACGATATTTTTGTAAAGCATTTATGAGTTTTTTTGATTAAGAAACCCAACGATTTCAAAGCGATTGCAATGGCAAAAAACAAAAAATTTTTCATTCTACTAGCGCGCGAGACTATGTATCGGAAATTCTAAAGATATGCTATTTTTAACTATTTATATGATATTGCTCTTTGAATTGAATTTTATGGTTTAAGTGCGAAGAACGTGATATTTAAATAAATAAAGGTAACACGCAAAAACGTCAAAAAAAACTGGCCCTTTGGGAGTAATATAAAATCTGAAAGCTTTCAGATTTTTTTTTTTTTTTTTTTGTTTTGTGTGTGGGTGTGTGTGTGTGTGTGTAATTTTAATACGTTTTAAAACTGGTTTCTAAGTGAGGACTTTTTAAGGGAAACTGCTTGTATACACGTTACACATGGGGAAAAGTCACGAAAACACCGGCCAGCTCGTTCGCGGGATTCGAACCTCGGACCAAACTACCTGCGTTCAGCGACTCTACCGCTCGGCGGCTGGTGGGCTTGTTATCAGAATTATACTATATTATTATTGTATTATGATATAAAGTAACAATGCTATAAGACTGAGTGTTAGTTCATGAAATAGTACTTTTGTAACCTATTATAGTATTAAAAAATCATTGTTTCCTTTGCAAACTTAAAAAAAAAAAAAAATAAAAAAAAAAATACTGTTTCATAGAGTTCTCATTTTTATATTGTAAAAGAGATATTGATTATTATTAGTTTTCTATTAAAATGTGTCGAAACGCTGGTTTGATAAGGACTTCAACTGCAGGAGACCTACACTGATTATTTTTACTTTAGTACTTCCATTGTGAAAATATTACTATCTTTTAATTATTTTCACAGAACAAAATCTTTTGAGAAGGGAAGAATATTAAACTGAGCAGTTCTTATATACAAATTAAGAATAACAGCAATGTATATTGAAAAAAACGGTATTAGTAATTGTGTGACAAAAAATTTGCAAAACGAATTAAATCACCATACAGGATAGATTAGTTTAATTTTGGTTATATATTTTATATTGAAAAATATTTTCTTCATGTTAAATTATAGAATAAATTATTTAAAATAAAGCATTTTTGATGCGTGTGTGATAATTGAATGCAGCAGCAATCGGCCATACTGTAATAGCGAATGAATTTTATTTCTTTTCCTGAAAGAAATAATTTTCATAGAAAAAGAAAATAAAAAAAAAGGGAAGAATATTAAGAAAGAAATATTTTCTTTCTAATTTCTTATTTAAAGAAATATTTTTCGAATAGTAACTGTAAAATAAATTGCGGGAAAACAGTTTTTAATGTAAACATGGGAAAAACAAAAAAAAAACTTAGTTTTGCTTAGATTGTAATGCAAATTAATCATATATAAATTTAAATAATTAAAATTGTTTATTTCTAAAAGGATTTGAAGCTTAATTCATTTACTCTTATCTATTTACCATTGCTTTCATGGTATCCCATATCACTCTTTATTCTTAGCTCTAAATTCCTGCGTTAACTTTCCCATTAAAAACGAGATTTTCTTTCACATAACACAGCAGCATATTCTACTGCGTGTTGGTCATAATACTGTTTGTGTGCATTTTTTTTCGAACTACAAATGCAGCGTGTGAGTTAGTGAAATAATGGGAGAATATTCTTAGAACTTCAGCCAGCGCGCGCTATAAATTTCGTCGTCGTCTGTACTGCGATTGGTCTAAAGCCCCTTGAAGCCTTTCCCCCTTCAGTAAAGTTAAATGGACCCACCCGCCCACCAACTGAGGACCACAGAATGGCTTTCTCCGATAAGTTGTGATGGCTGTCCATACCGGTTCTTTTGAGTCAATATTGTTCGCTCAAGTTGTAGACAGATCCAGTGATCATAGAATAGGCGTCCTGGACTCGTCTGTGAAGAGGAAAGATGACCACTGCTGACTGGTCTAGGATGTGTTTTCTTGCCCAACATAAACAGACACTTCCGTTTGCTCAGGTCAAGGGGACACAACTGGTTGTCATACATACATACCTGTATTGTGCAGGCGTCTGCACACCTTAGTAGCTGAGATTCTTGTTCCTGTTGCCACTAAATGATCTACCATGAGCTAAGGCGCAGTAATGTTGCTCTTCCTTCAGGCCGAAAGAGCTAAGTAACGGTCTCACACAGGTGTAACTCTTGGTCTGCCTGGGACATGTCTTCTAGACACAAAATCCTCGGATTCAAACCGATTTTATAGTCTGTAGACCACACTACGAGACACATTTCGATGTCTAGTAGCATCAGCTTGTGACATCCTCATTTCCATCCATCCGATCGCGCACCACCTCAACAAATCGGACAAACGACTTTTACTGGATGTTAATAGACTTTCCAGGATATTTTCAACGAACTGCTAGTAACAGTTGAAGATCAACACACGTGGAAAAAACCTACAATCTTCCATTTTTCTTCAACTCCTACATAAATATTCACTTCTATTAAATAAAAGTGATAGCTATTGTTTTTGCATATAATTTCTTAAACTTCCTAACTTTCATGCACATAAACTGTAAATTTAGATCTTACTGACATTTTTGTAATAGTGAGCTTTAGAAAACATGCTGTTCCTTAACTTTTGGAGGGCAGTGTACATTGAAATGAATGATAAAATATATCCCCCCCCAATTTAAGTCATCTGTATTTTTTATTTATCTATTTATTCGCTGGTGAAGAATAAAAGATACCTATCTATATAGGCGTTACAAGAATGATATTTTTTCCAACTGAAAATTTATTAATTTTCTTTCATAATTATCGTTCCTTCTAGTTGCTGAGTGGGTTATTTATATAGCAGTATTAAGGCTAACAAATACACTATCTGACAGAGTAAAGGAACATAATGAAGGTATTATGTCTATAATGCAATAACATTGTGCGGATTGCTAGGAATGCGTATCTCTATGATCTATGTAAATGATATTCAAGTTGCTCACGAGATTTTTTTTAAATGGCGGGCACTAACCATTTTAGGCTATCGTAACTACTAAAGCCAGGAGCTGTTATCATTTTATTACGGAGGTACTTATGTATGTGAGTTCAAAGACTAAGCTTGGAATTGCCGCTAGAGTGGACAACACACAACAGCATTAGAGGACTATTACCGAACAGGACTTATCTAATAGGATCTTTATTACAGAGTTATCTAATAGGCGGCCACCGTTACCTCCTATGAAGGGACATACAATTGATATCCATGTCTTCTCTGGGATACAAACCCGGGCCCTTCGGTACGGCAGTCAGAGTCACTAACTACTCTCCTGCTTGGGCAGCAGTTGCTTAGATAAAAGTATAGAAAATGTCATTGCTTTTCTGGTAAGGAAATTCGTTTCAAAGTTATTTTATCATTCGGAATAAACGCTAATTGAAGAGGTATCTCGAAAATGTTTCCGAAGCAATTTTTGTGAAACTGGCAATTTAACAAGGAATTTTATTTTAAGCCTACATTTTGCTTCGTTTTGCCAATATGTATATGAAGCATCGAATAACAACCTGCATATTCATCCCGCCGTTACAGGAGGGGTCTGCAGTTGACATATACACCTGCAACAACAGCTCACCACACGTAATACGAAATGCCAGTACTACACAAATTCATCAGGTTAAAGACAGTATATTTTGCTTTGTTCAGTGCATTAATAAGAAGAATCTCACATACTGGATGCCCATCCATCATGCAACAATAAAATTCACTCAGTAGCAGTGACAACCCATACAATGACCACTAGATAAGTACAATGCCGAATCTGCAGCGACAGTCTCAATACTTCATGCCATCCTAAATCCAGTCCACCATATTTGTACCATCAGTAATAATCATAGGAACCTACGATGCTTCAAAACACTTTAATTTTTATCTGCACTGGATAAAGGCATACGCCGGAAATCGAGGAACTGAGTAAAAATCGAGGAAGAAAGTAAGCGGATATACACTACCAAAGGAGGCGACAGAAATAGTAGAGGAATATAGAAATATATACAAATAGTAGGTGAATATAGAAAGTAATAGAAAGTAGATGAAAAATGTGCAGTGCCCTTGCCGTGATTCGAATCTCGGACCTCTCGAATAGGTGCCAAGTGTGCTAACCATTACACCACGAAGGCATGCTAAGAAGGTGGGAGAAATACCTTATAACCTATTTGTTCTTTTCTCTAGTAGCAGCAAAAAATATACTTCCATAACAGACCTAATACGCTGTATTGTAGGTTATGACCCATTTCTGTTTCATAAACACTGACTAAATGGTACAGATCAGTGTATCTACGCTAGTACAAGCACTTACAGACATTACATGAGAGCTCACCACTGACATCCAGCCTCAGACAAATAACAAACTTTAGTACCAACAACTCCACTATCAAACAATACATTTCTCTGAAAGATCAAGGCTATTCTGGGCTTTCTCGTAGCACAGTGGCTGGATCTATGTGCTGTTACATAATTCCTGCATTACGCAGTTACACATATTCTCCCATAGCAATATGTAGTTCATATGCATCAAACTCACAATCACTGTTATGCATTCTTTGTCAAACTACAGCACAAAGCATATTCAAGTACATAGGGAAACATACTACTATAGCTGTCTAACAGTAAAAGGTGACGGCGATGTATCGGTGTCCCCGTTTTCCGTCACATGTCTTCTGTTGATCATACCAGCACACTGCAACAGAAACACACTAGATACTGGTCGACTATGCATGGGATTTAAAAGTGATGGATTAATGAAGGGAATGCGAATCGTTTAAGGCTACAGGGCATCTATACGGAACATTTGAATCAACGCATCCAATGGCATGCAACAAGTGCGCTAAAAATTCACTTCGTCCCGAATTGTGCAGAGTTTACAGGGAGCTTTGTTCCTACGATATCAGCAAAATCAGTTTTCCACAAATTGTTCCAAAGTGGTCTGCAATCAAGCCCTTCAATTGTCCACCAACGTGAAGGATTACTGTGCGTCGACAGTGAGCCTCTTGGTATAATTAATGGCACACTGGAATGTTTAGTGATAAATTCCGGTTCTATCTTTTTAATAATATTCACAGGGTGAGGTTATGAAGGCGATGTACAATTCGACGTGGAAGAGAGTTTGCATAATTATTCTGTTTTTCTTAAACATAATATTGCTCATTAGTGTGGCATCATTGTTTAGTATGCTGTCAGCATCAAAAACTGGTCACTTCTAGTTAACATTAGAACTGCAGTGAGAGCTCACAGATACGTAGGTGCAATGTTACAGCCTATTGCACTGCCTTGACTCCAGAAGTCACAAAATGCTGTTTTTCAACAATAACGCAACACACAACAGACACACATGCAAGCTTTACACACAACAGACAGCAGCATGCAAGCTTTGAAAATTATCCATGTGCTTCCTTGGCAACAGCAATCTCTAGATCTCTTTCCATTTGGATGTTTGTGAGATGTAATTAGATGTCGTTTGATTGACCTGCCACAAGAGAAATAAAGCTGTGGCGAATAGTGGAAATTTTGTGGTCATACGGGTATTTCAAGACTTTTATTTTGAAGGCTAACTGAATCTCTATAGAGTAGAACTGCTATTTTTATCTCCCAAAGGAGTGGTTTTTCTGCCTCTTAATCATCCTATACATTCGTTCACTTTACTGCATTACAGTATCGTTTTCAAAATTTCTTATTTAGCAATATATTCTCTGTCTGTGTGAGAATTTTCTTCATATTTTTCCACTATTTAACAATGTCATATTTTCCACTATTTAACAATGTTTCGTTTATCAAGTAATGTGAATCTTCTTAAAAGTATGCAAATTAGCTATGATCATAGATGTGTTATGGTAGATAAACTATGTCCTTTCACACAAATAAGTAAAGATTTTTTTAAGCAGATAATTTTGCATGCAAATATATTAAGTGATTTGATACAAATACTTACAAGTAAATTTCTGTCAATGGGGGTTAGACTCAGCAGATGATAATTCATCACTTCACAAGCGGTGTCGATTTCGATAGTTTTTAATCTGAAAAAAAATTTAACATGGGAAAAAAGTATTTCTTTGCTGGCATTTACATTTTTAAATGCAGATAAAGAATTTGTATTAAATAATTTTCTGAGCATTTCTAAGCATTTTTCTTACATCATAAAAGTTAAAATATAGTTAGACATTCATTTGAATTTCAAACAACAATTTGTTTAAACAATCTTTAAACAATCATTTTAGCATCACATATGTAACTTATTTAAATTATTGTATGGTAAGCAGAAAATTCAAATGTTATGTTAAAATTTCTGATGGAAAATTTTATTACTCCTACATCCTTTTTATCATTTTATATTTTCCATCCTTGTAAAATGCAAAAAAAAGAATTTGATTTTTTTTTTTTTTAAATTCTCAGTTATACAGGCCACTCAGGTGATAATGTCTGCTGTAGTGAAAAACCAAGTCTTCAGAAATTTTTAAATGAACGTTACAAATTTTAATATCCTTTTAAAGAGAATAAATTGCCTGATTAAAATAAGGTAAAATTTAAAATGAAATTCAGTTTTATTTTTGTTTCATTATACTTAATTAAGTTTGTTTTTCAAATTTTCTTTGAAATTTAAAATTTTTCTTAAAATTTCCTTTAGAGAAGGTCTTTTTTATTAGTTTTTGTGAGAATTATTATTTCGGTTGTTTTTGGAATGCTGCTGTTGTTGTCTTATTCCACAAGATCTAGCCACAAACTAGACAAAGTCCACGAGCGCAAGAATCTTCAAAAAATCGTAAACAAGAAGATGACTGATAATAATATCAATCCTATCAAGACTTACAGAGTTCAATATCTGATCAGGAGAGGCTGCACAGTGTTGCAGTTTGTTGCACTTCAGATACGTCTTTTGCCCATCTCCAAATGAGAGAAACATGTTGTGTCCACTTGCGAGACTACTAATGGTGGACTAAATGACTCAATCAGTCTTTACGGCAAGGGCACCACCTACAGCCTGCCTCGTACCAAGGCTGAATCGGAGGGATTTTTCATAGCTGCTGATTTGAGGTTTCTGTCTTGGATCAGATTTCAGAGAAAGCCAAAGAGTGATCTGAAATCGACACGTCAGTTACTCTCTCCTTGGCCAAAAGATTTGCGATTTCATTGCCTAAACGGCCAATGTCATAAGAGATCCATTGCAAGTAGATTTTCCGCTGTTGAGAAAGTTTTGTTTAAGAGTATTAGGTGCTGAAATTAGTATTTTGTCGCCAGGCTTATTGCAGTTAATGTGTGCTGGACAGCACCATGACTGTCTGATAAAATCCAGATATTTGCAGTTGATGTTACAGATGTTATAGCGTTGAATGCCGCATCAATAGCTGTTAGCTAAAATAAATACAGAGCAGAAATCTGGATTCTTAATCCTAAATATAAGTGAGTAGTCAGGGGCCTTTATGAACATTTCACCACCGCAATAGCTGCAATCATCTTTACTGCCATCAGTATTCATTCGAATAGCAGTTGCTGGGGTTTGGCGAATGATCAACAAAGCAAGTTGACGTAGAAACTTAGGTAAGTTTTGATTTTTGTTAGTACGAGTCCAGAGTTCAAGTTGAAAATTTACCTTTTACCATGAGCTTTTGGAGTGTTAAATAACGTTGTTATACTGTATTTAGTTCGAATTTATTTTGTTTGACCCTATGCAATCTTTCCTTATTTAGCAGATTTCTGTGATGATTTTGCACACAGGAGAAAAAACAATCCATTTACAGAAAAATGTATTCAGTTTTGACAACATTCGTTGGTTTATTTCACGGTTTCATAATATTTTGTTGTAGTCTCCTGTTTTTTAAATACTGCATGGAAAATATTAGCAATCAAAGAGTACAACAAACGGTCAGACCATTTCTAGTAAACAATAACAAAAGAACGTCAGTGATTATATGGGACGGAAAGTCTTAAAAATATTCCTTTCTCCCTTTAAAATGGGAGTTAAGCGCTCCTGCATGCTTTTAGCAAGATTTCTACCGTCGGTTAGTAAACTCTCTATTTAGTTTAACAGTTTTTCTGCTACTACACATTCCAATACTCCACTGCGATTTAGCCTTCTTAATTTACTTTTTATATCCACATTCTTCCTCCAGTTCCTCTACAGCTTTATCTTGAATTTAGAATTTCTCGGTCTGATAAATTCTTGCACATTTCAACGTCTCTGTCTTTCTTCAAATACTACTTCAAATTTCGTCGGGTACTTTCTTACAACTAGGAGAAATTATGAGGTCTTTTGATATTACTTCTTAACCAATAGTATCTTTACCATAAAAATATGAGCTTTTTAATTCGTGAATTGCTTACAGTGTCATTCCTTACTTCTACAGTACAATTTTGAGTGAAAAATCAACAGTTTTTCCCCAATCCCCATACCTTTTCTGTACTGAAATATTAGTCTTAGAAAATCTTTTTCGTAAATGACTATCTGTCCTACAGTAAATGCATCTCTTTGCTATTAAGACTTCTTAATGCAACGAAAGCGTCAATAAGACGACATGAAAGAAAAAGAGCTTTAAAGCAATCATTTCATTGGTAATATAGAAATCAATGAGAAGGCTTGGCATTATTATCATCAAAAAGCGTTTTCAGGAAAAAGGCGAACCCTTTTTTTATCAGCAGCGCCTTCATTACTAATACATCTTTATTTCTGGATCACAAAACATGTCTTTATCGAGCTATCGTTATACATAGGAATTTTAAAATTTCGCTTAATACTTATGAGATTTTTCTTATTTGTCTGCTTGTTTTAGGCTATGAATCTGTTTCTCTTATTGCTGTGCTAGCATTTCAATTGCATGGCATTTCCAGTAGACATATATTTCTTTTGGATTAAAATTTAATTAAGGGACATCTTCCATGTAAAAACCAAATCTTTTAAAGAATTGTAATGTATTTTTTTCCTTTTTTACCCCGTATCTTCGTTGTGTAATTGCAGTCTGGTTAGAATCGAAGATCCAGAGCTCGAATTTCGCAATCATTGCACAGTTTTCACGTCTTCTGCTCCAAAATAAAACGCTTGATGGTCTATACAGCATATTTAAATAATTTTTCCTCAGCTTTTCAGTTTTTAGGCATGCCTTTTGAATGTCATTAAAAATTTGCTAGCTTGTATCTTCATGCCGATATCTTAAGTATAAATTGGACTCTAGTACTCATTTCCATGTCTAAATTTGCATACAAACTCTTTTTTCTTTAACTCTTTCGCATCGAAGTCGCCCGTAACGCCCGTTCATTCAGGCAACGGCAAACCGCCCCAACGCCTCGTTTATTTTCTACCTAGTTCTTTCCCCTCCACGTTAGTGTATGGCTCATGGTTTCGCAGTTGTTAAAATACATGTCAATCATTCTTTTGAAGCAAATAAAGGAGAAATACGGAAAGCTATTGACGTTCGCAGGTGCAATGAAGTTCGCAGGTGCAATCTGGCCCTAAGGTGAAACTGCACACAATGGAAGAAACCGCAGAAAAACCTCCAAGAGCAGCAAGGGGGAAAGGAAAACTATTCCAAGACAAATTCGTAAACACGGGCGTTTTCGATGTTTGTTGAAAACAGATTTGGTCGTCTCTCGATGCGAAAGAGTTAACTTATTTATACCGTTGCCCTTGAACCGTTCTTACAGAGTATCAACTCAAAAACGTCAATTCAAAAGCAACCTAAAAAGGTCTACTAACCCCAGGACTGCAAAGTGAGCTGATTTATGGAAATTTTACTATCGTCTAGAAGTGTCTAAATTTGAAAATTCTCTTAAATCTGTCGAATTCAACAAATTTAAATATTTGGTTAGAAAAAAAAACTTTTTCATCAACCTACATATATGAGCAAGCAAAAATCATCATGAATTGCAGTAAAAACATTTTGCGATCAAATATTCTGATTATTCTCTGTAGATTTAAAATTATCCACTGTAAAATTACTACCTGACTAGATTAATACCTTATTATTACTAGAAATAAAGTATTATAACTAGAAATTTTATGAAAATTTCACTTATAATTTCTCTGGAATCCCTTGATCTTAGAAATTTATATCTAACAATATTAATTTAATTTGGAGCCCACTGTGTTTAATTCCTAATGTAGCCCTTCGGCCAAAATGTTAACAATTAACTCGATGTAAAGAAGCAAATTCTAGCAGACCGCGTATTTCGGAGAAAAGAGAGGGCAAATTCGGGAGGGGGTATTTCAATAGAGCCTACTGAAATGTACAGCTCAAACTAGTCGTGAGTTTATGATCTTTCAATCAACCAAAGCAAAAATTACCTAATTTGATATTTAAACATACAAGTGACTATACTGTCGTAAGGTGTTATGCAGGAAGATATGGCTCACTATCATCTAAATGTTACGAGCCAATAACTGGGAGTTTCTCGTGGTCTATTTATTTAATTCATTTTGAAGTTTGAATCGCGCTGAACAGAGCTTTATTCTTTTGAATAGTACCTTTGAAATGAAATTCAGTAGAGTTATTTTGAAACCTATTAGCAAGGTAAGAAATTTCATTTCTACCATTTCGATTTAAAAGCAATTTTCATACGATATTAAGGGTTAGGCGTATGTTTCTATGATTAAATAATAAGTGATTTCTCTGATTCACTGAGGCGATTTATAAAGGGTTCGCTTGTTATCAAATATTAATAACACAAGTAGGTATAAAACACCGGTTTGGAGCCATGTGGCGCTGTGGCGCTGGGACTGTGTGGCGCACGAGGGGGAATTTACAGAGGGCCACCAGCTGGTTGCTACGTCACCAATTAGGGACCACAGCTGACTGTATCATGGCCTTGAAGCGAAATCAGTTTCGGAAGGTCACGTGATCGAAATAGTCGATCTCTTTCTCTTTACCATAATCCCGGAATTAAAGTTTACCGAAATAATAGTTTGTCTTAGAATAAATATAAATTAATAAACGTGAGTAGGTCGTATGATTTATATTAAATTTTTCATACTGCAATATTTTAAAGGCGGTAAAAATGTATATCTTCAATAATTTTTAAAACAATTTGTACTTCGTTTATGTAACTAAAAATATCATTGAGAATCACCACATGCGAACTTCATTTGTGTAATTTTGATAAAAAAAAAATGAAATCCATTTACGTAATCTGAATCAAATTTATTGTCAAAATAATATAAAATCCACATGGGGGGGGGGGGAATTCAATAGATTTATGTATGTAAATTTTAGATTTTCATACTAGTAAAATAAATATTAAGGGAAGAATTATTTTGTAAAACTCCATGCCGCTACCATCGCATCAGTTATATAAATTTTTAGAAGACAAATACCCATAGTCATCTCTCTTCACTCCATTCACTAATAAAATCTGCATATCTCAATTTTATCAAAACAGGAAAATGAATTAAAATTCCTTAAATGCTAGAAAATTTGAATATATAGATGAACTTACATGCATGTTGTACTATAAATAAATCTTTCAAGATAATATCAAAGAACTAAATGCTAATTGCATTCATAAAAAAGGACAGCCATCTATTTGTACTAGTTCCAATTTAAATCAAATTCCAATCAAAATCACTTTTTCCAAACCATCCAAGAGGTAAGTGATTAGGCTTGGTTTTTTTTTAAAGTGATTTCTCCAAATTACAGGTCTATTCCACTATTAAAAATAAATTCATAAAACTTGAAGCTGTACCATATACATACATGCTACATATTATACATAATCTATGCAGAAACAAAGCATAAATCAAAATAAACAATTGAGTTATTAACTGAAATTAATTAAATTTTTTAACATTTTTATATGAACATTTTATATTTTGCATAATTATTTAACATTATTTTACAAGTTATCAAACATATTTTCTAACCGAGTTTGTAAAGTCATTCCACAAGTGCAAGAATCTGTTAAATTAAAGTAACTGTATGGTGTACTAATCGTATCCAAGATAACTTATATAAAATATCCATTTGCTTTCCTGGCATAAGAAATGTATTTTCCATGTTTTTAAGAATTTCACCAAACAAGAAATATACAATTGAAGATTTTAATAGAGTAACTTCAGATGGAAAATTTTTAATTTCCCCCTTATCTAATTCTTTAAGAAAACCAAAAATATCATCTGCTGTATCTACTGAATGAATACTTTGCAACCAGTCCTGTCAAATATTGCATTTTATCACCCTTAATTTTTTCATGGCATCATAACCTGAAACATAAACTAGCACTGCTAAAATATCAGAAGAAACATTTTATAAAAAAATCATTAATTAGTAAATTTGAATAATCAATTAATATTCGCAAAAGTAAAGATAGAATCCTTATCATAATCTGGTAAAAGGGACATTCATATTTGATGATGAAATTATAATATTGTTTTTAAAACGAAGCTTCTTCTCATTTTCTAATAATTGTAGGTCATTTATTTAATAATCTGAACCTGACATTTGCCGATACATTTCAAAACGTGATTCAGGAGCATTGAAATTTTCCTAACAATATGTATTCAGCTTCATACTTTTGTAACAAACATGGAATCAATTGAATGCATCTGTAATTGTTATTAATGACTGAAAAGTTTGTGGTGATAAAGTTTCTTTTATTGGGACAGAATGTCAAATATGCTATTAGAAAGAAATAATCAAAACAAGGAATTCCTAATTTACTATTCCAAACAAATATTCAAAACAACACTACGCGAAACGTCCAAACTAATGTATTCGATGTTATGTTAAAACGAAATACTTGAATAGGATTGAGAACAGCTACAAATTTTCCCAAATAAATCTAAAAATTAAAAAAGTATAAAACGAAGTATAGATAAAAATATTATTTACCTTAGCATAAGTGATTTAAAATCACTTAATAGCAAAATATACATCCAAAAAATCCACGACCACGAGTTCACAACCACACACTACCACAAAAATACATCGACCATCTTGATCACGTGACTTTTGCGCTTCAAGGCCATTATAGAGTTGGCTGTGTTAGGGACGCGTCGCATCCTGTTCGTGACGTCACCACAGACGTCAGTCGCAAGTATGTTTGTGTTGTAATCCGGTTTCATGTACATGTTTATCGATTGACGTAAAACTCCCCGCCGCTCTGATGTCATACTAAATCCGCAACCTAATTGCAGCATGCAGATACATGTTAGAATCTCTAGAACATTCTATTTAGTTCAGCAATGGGCGCTAGAGGACAGTAGTGTCCCCTTGCCGCTTTTTGATTGTTTCTCGTGGATTCTGAATAAGTTATTAACCATTATTTTTAACTGATTATACTATTTGACTTAATAATTAATATATTTAATGAAAAAAGTTCATCTATTTATATGTAAATTTCAATTATTTGTCCATCTATGGCAGGGGAAACGCGGACGATAACACAAAGCTGTGCTTTTATCTCGTGAATCATATTATTTGATCTTATCTATCCGATCGCATCTATCCTCATTGTTCATCTTTGTGCAGCGGAAACCAGCATGAGGCTGATGGATTGCACATAGAGAATTCTGTTCCAACTTGCTCAGACCTTTGTACATCCTCGATAATGAATGAATTCATAACTTTAAATTTATTTTGTTTCTATTTTAGGTTAAGATATTTTAAATTTCTCATTTCTTTATCTTACAAACATAATTTACGTATTTTTCTTTTCTTCTCGCAGTTAAATTAAATGTACTAATTTTCACACCATATTTCTTATATACAAACAGAAGATTTTCTATTTCCCCCCCCCGTTTTTAAGTTTTACATCCTTTTTCCCCCTGCGTTTAACTTACAAAAGTAATAGATTTTATAAAAGTAATATGTTTTCACAATTTTAATTTTTTTTCCTCTTTTTATTTTACAAAAGGTTTTTTCCTCTTCAGTTTAATCTTTCCTTTCCGTGTTTTACATTCTTCACTTTATTTGTTTTACAAAAGCTGTACTTATTTTCATACGATTTTTTCTTTCTTTTTTACGAACTCTGTCTTTTTTCCTATATTTTACTTCAAGAAGTAATTTTTAATTTTTCTTTTATATAAAAGTATTTTTTTAATTCTTTGATGAATTTTCTTCTCTCATTTCTTTTTCTTTCTTTTATTTTACTCTTAAGGTTTTTCTCAATGTTTTAAATACTTATTGATGCTACACCTCCATTTCTCGAAGCGTAAAGTTCCATATATATTTCTCTGTCTATGAAGTTTAAGCTGGAACTTACACGCATATAATTTCCCTATAGAGGCTTTCATGGATAATATTTTCTGCAAATTTAAACCAATAAGTACGATGTTCCTTCCATATAGCTTACTTAGCATATTATATTCCTTCTTATTTTTTTACGCTACTAATACTTAAGATATACAAAACTTTCTCCCCAACGTATTATACTAACTTTTTGAAACACTATACTAAAACGTCGCGAATTCTCTTTTACACATGTCATACCTGTTCAAAGGATTCACGAAATGTGTCAAAAAATGTTAACTTTTTATTTTCTACTTAGACATTTTGCCTTACATTTAACCTTTATCATGTTTTTAAAACACATCCCTCTTAATATTTCTGATTCTTTTTTTTCCTAAAAATAAATACAGACTTATACGGATTTTTTAAAGGTCTACTGACTTTGAATTAAACCTTCTAATTCAGAAATAGTAAATTTTCACAACATAAAATCTGCTTGAACTAATATATGGACATCTCTAGCAAGTTTAGTTCAAATACATATGAACCAATATGAAATTTCTTATTATTGTTTACCCAAGTTTAATGCGTACCAACAGCATTTCATTTCTTATTATTTTACACTACAGACATTTACATGAATATATTCAGAACACTCCTTTTTATTGAGCAGGAGGTTTCAGATATATTACTAACACAGATTGACACTTTGAAATATTTTACAAAAAATCTTGGATTTTCTTGTACACATTGTATTTAAATCATCGAACATACTTTAAATTTTGATTTCTATCACGTGAAAACTTCACCCGGATTCTTAATGTGATCCCACCATTTACCGCAGACCTTCAAAAACACTGCTATATTTGAACTTAACACAGCCTTATTTTTTTAACAAGCTACAGAATTTTTAACTACAGAGAAGAATATCCACATTGTAATGTAATATTTTAAATTCACTATAGAGCATATGGTATGGTATTGTATAAAACATCTAAAAACGAAGGATGTCTACAATACACATGGAATTAATGTTCAGTCACGGAAGCGAAACCTTGTCATCTTTTTCTCTACTTAGAATATAAAAATTTCTCAGCTCGGAATATTTTTTCAAAGAGTATGATCATTATTTTTACAAGTCTCAAAGCTTTTTAATATATTCCTTCTAACTTAAGATATGCATTTCAAATTGACAAACACTGAACTCTTACAGCTTTTTGAGGATGATTTTTAAGTTATGATACATAGCAAATAAAATTCTACATAACAGAGAATATTGACATGAATTTCCAAATAATAATACAACGTAACTTCAATATATTCAATTTAACTGAAGATACGCATTTCAAACTGACATTACGTTACTTAAGCTCTTTAAGTACATCCGATATTTAATTTTTCACAGATATGAGAAACATTTTTGCATAAATACCATACAAAACACATAATATTGATATGAACTCCATATTATGGTTAAACATTAGTAACTTAAATGAACCTTTAATAAATTTTAGTGTGAATTAATCTTAAAAAGAAAAATTCAAATGCAAGTATTCAAACAGAAATGCTTCACAAATTTACATATTAAGCAAACATTCAAGAGAATACCTATATATCTAGAGATATTATTTACACTAGTTGGCAATGTAATTTATTAGAACAATCGCAGACGTATAGAAGAGGTATGCAATATCCATGAAGAAACTTCCTACCAAGCCAAAGAGCAATAGTGAAATATAACATATGAGAAGGGGAAAAAATGTCTAAATATGGAAAACATGAACTAGTAATGAATATTTTTTCTGAAAATGTCCCCGAATGGGATAAGTCAGGGGTAAGAACCTTAACCAGTTTCAGAAATAGGGCCTGAAAACTAAGGAAGTATTTTTAATCATATTTTAGTCTATAATGCATTTATTTATACTAAAATATTCTGTTTGAAGACTATATTCTACACTTAGAAGGAATTTGATAAATCAGAATGATTTCATTTTCTGAAGATTCAGGTTAAGAAATCTTACAACTCAAAAGAAAAAAAAAAAAAAAAAAAAAAGGTTAGAGCGAGAAGGAAGTATACCGTAACCAATAAAAATTTTTTTTCTTCCTAAAAAAATTAAAGTGAAACTTTTTCCACCTAAAAATCTAAATGAATTTTTTTCAACTTTTCAAAATCAAAGTGGAGATTTTTCTCCCTAAAAAAGTTAAAGTGAAACTTTTTCGACCTAAAAAAATTTAAATGAATTTTTTTCGACTTTTCAAAATCAAAGTGTAAATTTTTCCCCTTACATTTTTAATTTAACATGGGTTTTCCCATAGACAAAATAAAAGTGGAGATTTTTCTCCCTAAAAAAATTAAAGTGAAACTTTTTCCACCTAAAAAAATCTAAATGAATTTTTTTTTACTTTTCAAAATCAAAGTGGAGATTTTTCTCCCTAAAAACGTTAAAGTGAATATTTTCCGACCTAAAAAAATCTAAATGAATTTTTTTCGACTTTTTAAAATCAAAGTGTAACTTTTTCCCCTCACATTTCGAATTTAACATGGGTTTTCCCATAGACAAAATAAAAGTGAAGATTTTTCCTCCTAAAAAAATTAAAAGTGAAAAGGTTTCGACCTAAAAAAAATTCTAAATGAATTTTTTCAGACTTTTTAAAAGTAAAGTGTAACTTTTTCTCCCTTTCATTTTAAAATTAACATGGGTTTTACCACAGACGAAATAATAGTGGTGATGTTTCGTCTGAACAAATTAAAGTGAAATTTTTCCAACTCAGAAAAGCATTCATTTGAGCCCTAACGAAAACTGCAGTGAGCATTTTTCACCTTAAAAAAACAAATATATTCAGATATTATCATCAAGGTTTTCTATTCAGATATATTTCTCTGCTTTTCGTGCCATTAAATTTCCAATGAAATTTGATTCATTGCCGGAGAGTTAAATGTTTGTTATTTTTTTTTTCTTTTCGCATCCGAATGCATTTCATGTCTCACATATGCTCATTGCAATCAAGTTAGAAGTTAAGTGAATACTTCCTGAAATACTGTACATTTCATTCCGGAAAGTGGCTTCATTTTGAATCCTCTAATGTTTTTTTTTTTTTTTTTTCTGCATTCCAAGTAAGTTTTGTGCATAAAGTTTTCAGTTTCGGTGGAAGTTATTTACGGATGACTATAGTGTTATCGTGTTTCCATAAAACTTTGAGTATTACCAATTTTTAACGTTACGGCCCTGCAAATCATTGAATTTTCAAATATTTTCTTATTTATCTTTTACATTGCCTTGTAAAGATTTGAGAAATAAACTTTTATTAAATAGTTATATTGTTTCATTTAATAACGTTTTCGCACATTTGGAAGATTTAACTTTCAATAACACTACCACGGTGAATCAGAAAATTAAGAAAAGCAATGGAATTTTTTATCTTAGTATACTATGGGAATAGAGAATGTTAACCTCAGCTCATACAGAATATTTTCTCGAAGTTACCTAGAATCACTGACTTGCACTATCATACATTTTTCTCATGAAGTCTATTTCTTACTTAAAAAGAAGTTTATATACTAATTTCATTAGAAACATTTCTAAGAAAATATCTGACATTCATGAGAAACATCAGCACCTTGATTTAAATGACTAGGAAACTAAGAAGCATTGTTTTGTAAATATGTTTCTCTTTGACTCAAAAGTTTCTTCTTTATCATATTCTAAATGAACAACTAACCGCATATAAGTAATATATTGTATTGATGAACCAATGTTATATTTTAACTTATTAAGTGACTATGAGAAGAAAGTCATGTTTTCCCCTAAATGC